ATTGCCAGATTGACAATACTGTAGATTATAACATTAAAGCCTTTCACAGGCTCAGAGTAAATAAACTTTTAGAAAAGCCAAGTGCAATTGACTAGATAAACCATCAGGACTAGAGTTCAAATTGAATGGCGAGCGGAACACCTAGGCTTTCAGCCTTGTTAAACAGCCTCTGTGAGCAAGCCACTTGACCTGGACTTTTCCTTCCCTTCTGTAAATTGAGGTCATGTGGACTCTTGGTTGCTCTCACAGACCAGCAAAGACCCAGTGGATGGAGGCCTGCAGGGTCCCTGTTGAATTTGGTGTCTTTTTTTTTCTTGCCAAAGCTTCAGCCAGGAAGCAAAACCCACATCTTATTCATTAGCTTTGAAAACTACTCCTCCACTGAAGTTTGTGAGTTTGTGTTTTAAGTATAAAGTTTTACTTTTTTACATAAAAAACAGCTTACACAGATGTCAGTAAGCATGCCTAATGTGTACTGATGGATTATCCACTTGAATTAAATGGTGCCCAGTTTCCTAAACTTTAGTGTATACATGAGCATAAACGTTCATTCTGATGCTCAGCTTATTTTGGTCTTTGGCCTTCTTCACCTAAATTTTGTTGAAATTTTTTCACCTTAAACATGAATCCAAATAAGCAGGTTTGTTTTAAAATCAAAAGCGCACATGGTTTTATGTGGGAACTCTGGGTTATACATATTACAGTTTTTTAAATCAATAAACTTTATTTTTAAAACAGTTTTAAGTTTATAGCAAAATGTACAGATTTCCCATATACCACCTGTCCTAACATTGTTTTTTTGTTTGTTTGTTTTTTTAGGTATTGATTTTTTTATTTTATTTTATTTTTTAGAAGAAGCATTTCATTACAGCTTTAACATACTCAATAACAATTTCCAGAGCAAAGATATATCTCTTTCAAAAATGGCCATAAAATTTTAAAGTTCAAAGTTGAATTAATACAGTTAGCACACAAAAAAATCAACAAAATAAAAAAATGAGTTATATTTGAGAAGGAAGCATAAAAATTTACGTCATGTTAATTAGTAGAGGTAATGAACATTACCACTGAAATCTACCCAATGACTTTATATCCATACACAGGTGCCAAGGATCTGAATGCAACCATGACTAATAATAATCAGATACATACATATTAGAGATGCATGCACCAACATCCAAGTGTTATTAGCAAAAGCAATAAGTCCTTCTGTAAGAAACGGTATATTTTAAAATGAAATGGAGATCTTTCTTAAAGGTTAAAAACTCATTCAATTTTATGTCTTACAGGGTTCATACTGAGTTCAATATTGTCTTTTTTAAAGGAATTTTAAACCAGTTTTAGTCAATTTGTGTAAAGGCTTCATTATATTCTTTACCACTTCTGATTCTCTTTAAAACTTTTTAAAAAAGATTTTATTTTTTTATTTTATTTTATGTGTATACATGTATTGCCTTCATGTAGGTAAGTGCACCCATGTCGTGCAGTGCCCACAGAGGACAGAAGAGGCTATCGGATCCTGTGGACCTGGAGTTACAGACAGTTGTTAGCTGCCATGTGGGTGCTGGGATTCGAACCCAGGTCTTCTGCAAGAACAACCATTGTTCTTAACCGCTGAGCCATCTCGCCAGCCCCTCTCTTTAAAACTTTTAAAGACATTGTTACAGTTCAATTGCTTACTATTTATGATGGATAACTTTCTAATATTCATCTTCAGTGTTATGTAAGAAGCACTGTGTGTTGCTAAATTTTATTTTAATGTTAGGGTGCAGTGAACTTTCTGTTTTGCCATTGGTCCAACATTATTCTTTCCAAAATTAGTTTCATTTTTGGAGACATATATTTCTTAGCTATAGGCAGTATTAGCAATTTAAAGTCATCTTTACAATATCAAATGAAACATTTTATGAATTAAATTTTTCAGCATAATTTTATAAATGCAATGAACAATTGTTTTAATGTGATTTATGCAGTACCTGTCCTGTGGACAAGCATTACATTTTACTGAAAAAAGTATCTTTCAGTAACTTTGATTTGGCATTATAATCTACTGCTGTAGAGACTGAAACAGGATTTTTGTTTTGTAGTTTGGCATTAACTATTCTATTTGTGTCTCAAGGACTCATTTAAGCCAAGGTCCGGAGTGTCTGATATTTTTCTTGATCGTTTCACAAACTGATTCAATATTAATAGTCTTGAGCCAGACATTTCATCTATCCAGTAATTATTTATAAAATAGAAAGACATCACTTAGTATTTCAGGCAGTTTCAAATGTGACTGATGAGTACTAACAAATGAAATAGGTATCTTAAGGCCATGGTTCACTTCCAGGCTCCTGGAGTCTTGAAATTTATTAACTTCAAGCTACAGATACTCTTAGCAACCAGGGCTGGTGGCCTGACCTCAGAGGTCCTAAATAGTTCACCTGAGGAAAGTGTTAGTTTCAGAAGAGACTGGCTGTGTTTGCATTCTCCAGATCCACTGAGTTGTGAATTGCCATTGTTCTTTATTTGGTTTCATTTTGTATCATCATTCTAGGTAAGAGAAAGTTGTGGCATCATTTGCATCACTGTTATTCTCCTCATAGTTTGCACCTGTTTACCTCTGGAGCTAGGTTACAGTCTCCTGAGGTATAAGCTGCCTCAGGCAGGTTTCTTGGCAGAGATTTCTCACTTGGGATTTGGATTCATAAGAGATGATGTCATGGCTCTGTGATGTGAGATGCTTGGTGCAGTTGCAGCATCAGCCCCTGTTAGGGAGTGGATACCCCACACCCGGTACTCACTGGCTTTTTCCCTCCAAGTGCCCCTGTAACCTTCAGGGCACTGTTCAGTTCATAATGTTGTACACAGTATAGTCCCATAAGCAACATGGATCACCTTAAAGATTTAAGGAGGGGCAAGGTGCATCAGCCCCTGTTAGGGGAGTGGATACCCCACACCCGGTACTCCCTGCTTTTTCCCTCCAAGTGCCCCTGTAACCTTCAGGGGACCGGTTCAGTTCATAATGTTGTACACAGTATAGTCCCATAAGCAACATGGATCACCTTAAAGATTTAAGGAGGGGCAAGGTGCCAGACTCTTTTCCCCCTATAATTTGTTTATATTTTATCTAAATATCATTTATTAAAATAGACACTTATATATGAGACAACTTACATGCTTGAGCTGGAGAGAGATTGAAGTTTAAAAATTGTTCTTGGGCTCCCCTGCCCCCCCCTTCTTCATTACTTCATGCTACATTTCAGAAAATGTCATGTATCTTAATGGAAGGAAAATCTAGATTCTTATTACTGGTGTGTAAAACAGTGATTCCTTGCCTAGAGGGGTTCTGTTCACATCTTTTCACGCATGTCTTCCTGAAGATATGTTGTGTTGTCTGTTGGTAGGCCTTCTGTCTTCACAGTCTTATGACACAGGTCCATCTTTTACACAATGAGAGTCTATCTGAAAAACTTACACATGTTATTTTTCTAAACAGTTTTTGGGCTTATGTTGCCTTTGATGTCCCAAACCTTAATGTTGTTACGTTGGAATTCATGCGTCTTCTGGTCTTCTTTATCACTTGTCCTTCATTCCAGCAAAATGATTTGCTTTTTCTTTACTCTTTATTTACTCAGGCAGGGAGTTTCCTCATTTTGAAAGGCCCTTTGCCATCCATCCACCCATCTTAACTGACCATCCATCCATCCATCCATCCATCCATCCATCCTTTTATCCATCCATCCATACAGTATGAGCATATTTGCCAGAGCTGGTCCAGGGATGGGGTAAAATGGTGATTGGTCATCTTGATTATATTAATTGAGGCGTGAAGGCTCCCTTTCCATTCTCTACCTGAACCATACACATGGAGAAGGAGAGTTGAGAAGCAGGATGTGTTCATTACTCTCTGCTCCCTGATTGTGGGTGTGTGTGACCAGCTGCTCAAGCTCCTAGCTCCTTCACTTCCTTACCGTGGTGGACTGTACCCTCTAACTTTGAGACAGAACAAGCCCTTTCCACCTTAAGTTGCTTGTGTCAAAATTTTATTGATTTTTTTAAAATCACAACAAAGAAACTTTAAAGACAGTTGATAAATGTGATACTGTCCTTACATTGTGGAACATCTGTTCATTCCTGCCTGGCACACTCTGCTCATCATCTCTAATGTTACTTCTCCCTGAGGCCTTTCCCAGTGTACCCAGGTGGATTTGTTCACTATTTTGGCCCAGCACTTTCTTCATCTCTATTACAGCATTTAACCTCATTATTTAGCAGATACTTACCTACGGTGTGCAAATTTTATGATAAGGTATGGGGATACCACAGTGAATAAAACAAATAAAAATTAATTTCACAGCTTGTGTTACTTGTCACTGGTCCATCTTTCATCCCCATTATGTGTGAGTTCATGAAGGGCATTATATAATATCTGTGCATCTGCAGTACCAGCCATGTCTAGAGACAATTCACATGAAATGCATTTTCTTTAAAAATGTAAAATTCAGAGGATGCAGTTTTCATAATTTAAATGAATCACTCTCATGTTTATATATACATATCCAGTATGCACATGCATAGATTTTCTTGGCTTAGCATTAAAAATGCTAGAATCTCCAATAGTTGCAAGCAGTTTAAAAATTTCAAAATAGAGATAGAGACAAATATTGATACTGCTCAAATTGAAAATGTCCATTTTTATATTTTACTCCCTGATGTAATTGAATGGCAGTTGGTTAGTTAAGCATCTTTTATATGGAAGCAGAAATTGGGATTAATTAAAGGAGATGCTACTTGGAATATGTAGGAAATTTATAACCATTGAGGTCAACATGGGCAAGGAACTGTGTTGCTAAAGAGGCTGATCCCACATGCTGAAATTACTATGGTTTTGGCTGGGTTTTTAGGCATTGAAACCTGGTAACTTCTGATGCCTATCTGGTAACTTTGATACTTTCTACATGGTGAGATCAATGTGGTGCGCACACAATGACATGAAGTGTTTTCCTTTCTTTCAGTTGGTGAGTTTGTAAGCGATGCCCTTCTCGTTCCTGACAAATGCAAGTTTTTACACCAAGAGCAGATGGATGTTTGTGAGACGCACCTTCACTGGCACACTGTCGCCAAAGAGGTACCAGCCCATGATTTCCTTCTAGCACAGTCATTTCCTGAGGACACATATAAAACATTTTCGAGGGTTTTTCAAAGCATTTGGTTGTTGATAAATTCTTAAAAATAAGAAAACTTGTATTCAACTCTCCTTAAAAAATTGATTTTGCTTCTTAAATTAATTTTCACTATGCAGTGCAATTGAACAGAAACCACAGTGAGTTCCCATGTTCCTTGTTTGTGCACATGCTCGGCCTTTTCTACCCATGAGTATTTCTAAGGATCAGAAACAGGGCCCCTTAGTTAGGTTGTGCCTCGTTTTTCAAATTAAAATAAAGCTGTCATCTCTTAAAAATATTTTATTGCTATTTATTATTTATTATTTTATGTGTATGAATGTATTGCCTGCATGTAGCTAGGTACACCTGTGTCATACAGCGCCCACGGAGATCAGAAGAGGGCATTGGATCCCCTGGAATTGGAGTTCCAGACAGTTGTTAGCTGACATGTAGGTGCTGGGACTTGAACCAGGTCCTCTGCAAGAGCAGTCAGTGCTCTTAACCACTGAGCCATCTTTCCAGCCCCAATATTTTTTTATTTTTATTTTATGTGTATGTGTGTATTGCCTGCATGTGTGTAAGTGCATCCATGTTGTGCAGTACCCATGGAAATCAGAGAGTGTGTTGGATCCCTTGGACCTGGAGTTACAGGTAGTTGTTAGCTGCCATATGGGTGCTGGGAATGGACCCCAGGTCTTCTGCAAGAGCAGCCAGTGCGACTAACCACAGCCATCTCTCCAGCTCCAAAGCTGTCATTTTTAATAGGTCTTTAGTAGGTATAACTTTTCAAATTATTTTCTGTGTTTCCATTCAAAGTGCTTATAACTTAACTTTTTCCTAATAGCTATAGGTAAATGCTATGGTAGAACAAGGAAGTCACTTCTCCAACACTATCTTGAAGGCCACAGTCAGGATATTATTTTACAATTACTTCTCCAGTTTTGTATTTTCTAGGCTACACCACAGTGGGTAACTCTGTGGCAACAGGCTCAGCCCTTTGGTAGCCCCTGCTTTTGGCTCAGTCAATAAAAACAAGACAATTAGTATGAAATGTAATTGTGTTGAATTATCCTCAAACTGCACTGCCCTTTGAATATAATTACATATATTATTAGTATATATATATAAACATAATATATTATAATTTTTCTCTTAAATGACTGAATGTAATTTATTTGTGTCAAGGTGGTGTGTGAGTCTCCTAGAATTAGGGCCTTTTATCTAGCACAGGAGTTCACTAGTAGGGTCAGTTTGAACTTCTATTCCTTCCTAGGAATGTGGGATATTGTTACTTGTCCTAGCTGGATGGGGAAACACCACTGGCACATAATGACCAGAGACAAGACAAGATTCTACAAAACACCCTACACTGAACAGGGCAGACCCTTCTCCTTGAAATATCTTATCCTTTCTTCTTTCTTTTTTTTTTTTTTCTTTTTTTTCCTTTCTGTACCAGGAATTGAATCTAATGCCTTATAATATGCTGAACAAGTGTTCTATCATTATGCTTAGAATCTTTCTTTGAACTTTTTTTTTTTTTTGGTCTTTTTGAGACAGGGTCTCCCTGGATCCTCAGATGATGTGGAACTCACTATATAGACCAGTCTGGCCTTGAACTCACAGAGATCCTCCTGGTTCTGTATCCCGAGTGCTGGGATTAAAGGCATGTGCCACCATGCCCAGCTTTCTTTGAACTTTTATCTCAGCATTTTGTCTGTTTTGTGTTTTGAGATACAAAGTAGAGATGGAGTCTTACTAAGTGGCTCAGGTTGGCATAGAACTCACCCTGTAACTCAGGCTGACTGTCAACTTGCAATCCTCTTGCCCAGCCTATATCACTAGGTCTGGCTCCCCAGAAAATTATTTGGTCCAAAATTTCAATCTTGTTGAACTTTTAAAATGTGATGTAATTCTTCATATCCTTGTGTAGCCTTATAGCTGGGAGATGAGAGAAAAAGAAAAAGAAAAAAAAAAAAAAAAAGAACAAGTTCTAACTCGCCATGGGAAAAAAAGGAAAAAAAAACTTTTTTTTTTTTTTTTTTTTA